CCCACCCCACCCCACCCTACCCTACTCTACTCTACTCTACTCTACTCTACTCTACTCTACTCTACTCTACTCTACTCTACTCCATTCCATTCCATTCTATTCTATTCTAACAATCCTGGACTCCATTTGGTGAAAAAGGTATAGTTTACTAACGGTCAAGGAGAATACAATAGAGCAAAGCCATAACTGAAATTTGGGCACAAAAAACTCTTAAGTTTAACTTTCTCCCCTTGAGCCACTTCCCACTGCTGGTCTCCCATTGTCCAATCATATTGAAATGAATTGTTTGGCGAACAGTCTCCTATTGTGGGCTGGTATGCAGCTGCATGCCATTCTGACCTTCAGGCTGTGTTTCCAGAAGGTGTGATGTATAGTAAGCTTTCTCCCACCCATCCAATACCCTTCCCCCAGAGTCCATATCAAACTGGCATCGAGCGAATGCAAGTGAGATGGCAGTTCTGACATATAGGCTGTCTTCTTACCCACCTATACTTGAGCTCAGACAATAATCAATGAATAAATGTAGGAGGAAGAGTTGAGGAGACCCTCCTGATACATGTGGTTAAATGCTTGGCCAATGGAGGATTTGCCTCCTAGCTTCAGAATTTCCAGTTGAAGGTTCCTAAGATTCCTAAATGGTCCACTCAGCTATGCAGTAAACTTGAAGACAGGAAGGACTTGACCTACACCCCAATATTTTCCCCAAAATAATTTGATTAATTACACAAATAGAATCTAGGTCTCTGCTTGCATTTGATATACTCAACTACAATTTATGCTTGAGTTAATGGTTTAATTAACTAACACCACACTTAAAAACTTTAATGGGCATTGGATGGGTTACTTCTGACAATTGACTTGACTTTCAGTGTTTGTGGATGTGTGTGTGGGTATGGATGTGTGTGTAGCATTCGACATCTTATTTATAGTACTTCTCTAAAAATAAATTTAATGCTTTGTTATATCAGCCAGAATGTATTGGGACCACTCAAACTGGATAGGGATGGGGACAAGTCTGTGTATGATGTTTCTACTGTCAACTTACACAGCATTCCTGCCCTGCTCTTGAGTTGCCATAGGCAAAGGGGATGGGAAAACGGCAAAGCAGCACGGCAGCCAAAAACAAAAGCACATTCCCGACATATCTCTCACAAGGCTGTCTCCCAGGGTTACCCACAGCAGCTGTAGGGGAGTGATCTCTACACCCTGCAAAATTGTTCTGCTGGTGAATGTGACTGATGACACCCTGAGAGGAGGGAGGAAACAGGGTTAAGTCTGGGCCGTAAATTATGCGGGGTCAGAGTTGGCTTCACTTGGAATGTGTCGATATGAAGCTACTAATAAATAACTTGATTTCTTTTGAAACTTGGCTTGAGGCTCATGATTTAATTAGGGTATCCACTGGAACCCTGACATTTACCCTCATTAAGTGACAGAGTGATATGTTTTTATATGGATTGTGCCACAATCATTTGGCCTTGACACAGAGGATGCCTCCAAATCTTTTGCCATGCCACAAAGTTGAAAGCCATTAAGAGAAGGTCACTGAACTTATCAGTTGGGTCAGAAATAACAGCTACAATAACAATAGCAGCAGCTTACTGTGGTTGTCATTCCTGTCCCTGGTGCCATCCACTTTGCCATCTGGAAGGATCCTCAGGAACTGACCACCATTGCTGCAATAAAGAAGCTTGGGCTGGTTGTAATCTGCCATTGGGAGGTCAAATTTTTCTGTCATGGCAGGAAATGTTGTGATTTCCCTCTAGACATCTCTTTCCCTTCCTTGGACTCAGGTCTTCAGTCCTGGAAAAGAAATTTAGCAGGATTTCAGTGAAAGGAGCCAAAATAGTAATGATACCTTCCATGTCATGGCAAGTTCAAAGTGGGAGGAGAATTTTCCAAGCATTATTTATACACATTATTTTAGGGATTACCCACCTCACGAAAGTATCATTCAACCTACAGAGCAAAACAGTATGCTGTATCTTTGGTTTCCTCTGTCTTTGAAAAGCCTTTTTGAATATGCCTACTGTATGCCATAGTATTAAATCAATAAAATGGTGTTTAATAAATAAAAACAAATAAGATAAAAGCAAGACTAGGGCCCTATGTTTACCAGTTCAATCCCTATCTCTGTCTAGAAAGAAAATAGGCAGAGAGAAGAAAGAAAGCAAGACCTAAGCTTTCCTGGATTACTTTTATTGCTTGTAATCAGAAGTTGGTAGCTTCTGGAGAAGAGCTAAACGCTGTAGAATGGGCAAAATTATAGCACACATGTACCCAGAAGTAAGGGTTTGGCATAATTTTCTGTTACATGTGAGATGTTTTAGATCTTTCATCTGTTTTCCATGTCAAATGACAGGAAGCTGCATTTATAATTGGAGGAGGTTCCAACAAGGTTAAAAGGGATCCACAGCGCATGGGCACATGTACACACACACACACACACACACACACACACACACCAGTATAACTGGAGACTGTTCCTTGTTGTTTGATTAAGTATCAAATAATTGGCTCTTTTTCAAAGCAAACACCAAACATGGGAGTGATTAAGAAAAATGTGGGGTTGGGTAGCAGCAAATGGGCAAATCCTTTTCACTTCTCTGAGGACTTCCTCAGGCCAAGTCTTCCATTCACCTCACATGGCACCAAAAAAAATGATGTTGGTAGTATTGTCAGCGAGTATTTGCTCCAGACAGGATGCCCTGTTACAATTATTTGAATCAGCAATCTCCTTTAGGCCACCTAAAAAACCCAAGCCATTAGCTTATTTGTTTTCTGAAAACTGATCCCAAAGCTGAGATAAACAGAGTAGTAAAAATATAGAACAAAAAGTGAGACATATTGTTTTAACCACACCTACAGATGGCAGATAATTTCAGATGCCAGTGGGAACTTTGTTCTTCGCTGAACCGTGGAATAGACAGATATGGCTGAGTGTGTGGATCTATATATGTACAGTATCTATAGTATCTCTATCAGTGGTGGGTTCCTACTGGTTCAGATCCTTTTCGGCCGAACCAGTAGTAGTTTGGCGGCCTGGGTTGCTGGGCCCGGCGTTCCCCCGGCCCTGCCACACCCCTGAACCAGTTCTCCTGGCAGTGCCAGAGGCGGCTCCATCTTGTTTTTTGCTTCTGCACATGCACGCATCAAGCATGGATGG